CTTCTTCTCCTTCTTCTCCTTCTTCTCCTTCTTCTCCTTCTTCTCCTTCTTCTCCTTCTTCTCCTTCTCCTTCTCCTTCTCCTTCTCCTTCTTCTTCTTCTTCTTCTTCCTCTTCCTCCTCCTGTCCCTTCCCCTCCCCCTCCTCCTTCTTCTTTCTTCCTCTTCTTCCTCTTCCTCTTCTTGTTTTCTCATCTTCCTCTTTCTCTTTCTCCTCCTTTTCTTCATTCTTCTTTTTAAAATTTATTTTATATTAATTTTATTGAGAAGGAAGTAGCAATGAGACAGTTTCAAAACAGGTTAGTAGGACAGTTAGAATAATTAATGCATTGCATATTGTTGTCTTTGTAGTAGTTATTCATAGTACAAGATGCAGACATAATATGTTGTCTAAACACTATTCAAAACTTTTCTTCTCATTGAACTAAGAGAAAGTAGTTGTATATCTATGCTGTTTTGTATATACACACACACACACACACACACACATACTTTTTTCACTACACAGTGGTCCTTCATTTATATCACCTTTTTTGTTTATTTTTTAAATTTAAGTTAATTTTATTGAGAAAATGTCCAACTGGTTGTTAGGTGGTTTGTTTGTTTTTTTTTTTTTTTTTTCATAACCGGGGATTGAACTCAGGCCCTTACACTTGCAAGGAAAGCACTTATTCCACTGAGCCATCTCCCCAGTCCCCTCCTCTTTCTTCTTATTCCTCCTTTGTTTTATTCAATACCAACCACAGCCAGACACAAATACCACACAATTAATATGCCCCTAATTATTATTAACTTAATAGTTAGGATAGTCCACACTCTAAATTAACAATCAATACTAGCAATAAAAGTTTAATAAAATTATTAGCTATTCTCTGCCTCTTCTTTGTAAAAAAGAAAAGATTTTATTCTTATAGTGACACAGACACTACATGAGTTAGTGCACATCCACCCCCCGCACAGTTATCAAACATTTGTACATCCAGAGTCATCTTCATGTTTCCTCTTTTTCTTCCCTATTAAGTAGTCTGATAAATTTCTTAAGGCAAGACTAATGGTATAAATTATACAAAGTAAAATGACATAATATAGCTTGAAAGTGACAAAAAAATGCCATTTCAGATCATTTTGCAGATCCCCCAAATATGTACTGAATTGTGAAAAAATCAAGCTTCTCTTGATGAACACAGAATTTACTTACCCCATTGTTACTACAATGTCTCGCAGGATCACAGGATTCATTGATAATATACTGAACTTCTTTACATGTCCATCTGTCACAAAACTGAGGCAAAGCAACATGAAATAAAAAATAAAATCAGTCAGATAAATTGTGTATATGAATACACCTAATAAGAAAAATCAGAGAAAATCCCTGAATTTATACTACCCAGAACTGGCATAAATTCCATGAGTATACGTGGTGGGAAAGTATTTATTTGTGACTACAATGAAATTATCTATATAAACTCAGAATACAAAGATAAGATCTTGTCAAAGGAGCTGAAACAGTGTTTTCTGACCATGTGTCTTAGTTACTCTTCTCTCATTGCTGGGACAAATACCTGATAAAGGTATTTGAAGAAAGGAAATTGAAGAAAGGAAAGGTTTATTTAGCTCATAGTTACTGGAGGTTTCAATCCATATTCAGCTGGGTCCAAGGCAGAACAACACCAGCAGAAAGCAACCTTTCATGGCAGCCGCAAAGAGCAAGAGCACAAGGGAGGGGTAGCAGCAGCTCAAGCAACTAGCTTCTCTTCCCACCTTATATTATTATGCAAATTCCTTGTCCCAGGGCAGGTGCAGCATCCACATCCACAAGAAGTGGAAGACCCAATACTATTATGGGCTACTGGACTCTTTTAGAATATTTTGCTGAGTTTACACACCTATAATATTCAAATAACGGAACTTAACAAAAAAAAGGGATACAGATGAATGTCCATTTTGTATCTGTGTATTCAAAGTGGTTAGGATAGATATATAGTTACATTCTCTTAATGAATAGAGGGATTTGTTCTAATGGTGTTTGTAAATAAGATATCATGTCTGCATCTTGTACAGCAATTAACCACTAGGAAGAATGTATGCAATGTGTTAATTATTGAAACTGTCCTACCAATTTGGTTTGAAACTATTCTCAATAAAATTATGGAAAAAATTAAAAAAAATCAAACTGAAGAAGCTTCACCATGATTGCATGAGACTTTGGGGGGACACCTAGACACAAACCATAACATTCTGCCCCTGGACTCCCAAAGACCCCTGCACATTCCTTTATGCAAAAGACATTTTAGTCCACCTCTAAGAGTTGCCCAAGTTCCAACATTTTTAGCATTGCTGAAAAGTCCAAGTGCCAAGTCGCCTCTAAGATCCAAGGCAAACTCTCAACTGTGAGCTCCTGTACAAATGAAGAGTTAAACACTTGCAACCTTGAAAGGCAGAAGGTAAACATTATCAAGGTAAAAACAAAAACAAAACCCAAAACCAAAACCAAAAACAAATATTACCAATCCAAAAGGTACACACAGTAAGATATGAAGCACTGTGGCCAAAACAAATCCAACATCCAGTGGAGCAAACATTAAGTCTTGCAGTTCCATGTGGGACATCTGAGCAATTTGTGGCAAATTGTGAGCTCCATGTGGCTCAGCTCCTATGGTACTCTTGGTGGTAGCTCCCATGGCTTCTCTCTTAGGCCAGCTTTGCTCCCTCTTTTCAGTTTCCCTTAGATGACCCACATCTCTGGCTTTTCCAAACTTCTGGGGTTTCCAATGAATAGGCTTCTTTCTCACAACCTCATGTACTACCCTCTCAGGAGTACATTGCCTGGCCTCCCAGTCTTTCTGAAATTGAGGAGGAAGCCTTATAACCTCAGAGCTCCTGCATTCTGCACATGCCTAAAACCAATGCCACATGGATGATGCCAAGGTCTGCTGCCAGCTGGAGCCGTAGCCAGGCTTCCTTCTCCCTTGGATGTAGGGGTCTAGTGCCTGGATGGCTGAGCACTATGACTCTGATTCCAAGGAATAATTTCTCCATGCCAGGGTCATTCAGGAACCTAGTATGTCCCTTGCCACCATTCTGGAACATGGAACTCTATGAATTTCCCCTTAAGGCAAAGTCCCTGACCTTTGCAGTTCTGAGGCTGCAAAAGATAGAGACCTGACAACTCCTGTGATGCCCTCAGGCTATTTTTTCCATTCTCTTGTTCCTTCCTGGGAATGGAGATCCTCTCAGCTCCATCTTTGTAGTCTACAGCTTTATTGGGGCTTCCTTTCTGGCCAGACTCATAACATTTTATATCATCCTTCTACACTTCTTGCTCTTGATTGTCAACATAGATTGCTCTAAAAGCCCCCAACAACAACCAAGCCACTACCCCAATATTTGGCTGTTCTGAGATTTCTTTTGCCAGATTAATCAGTCCACCATGCTTAAATTCAGTCTCAGGCAAAGCCTCTGGACACAAGCAAAATGCAGACAACTTTTCTGGCAAGTCAAAGCACAAATGATCTGGAGTCCAACAACCAATGCAGTCCTTCTTCCTGGCAGAAACTTCCCCAGCCTGGTCTTCACAGTCTGGCTTTCTATCAGCCTTCTGGTCTTCTGTGCTCTGACCAGAAGAACCCCCCGCTACAGAAGAGCTGAAGCTGTTCCAGCTCTTTACAGGTAGGCAGCATCTCTGAACCTTTCGTATCTCTTCTCATAAACCATTCCCAAAAGCTTGTAATTCACATGGTCAAGCTGAGTCACAGCAATGACCCCACTCCTGTGGTACCAAATTCTGTCTTAGTTACTCTTCTCTCATTGCTGGGACAAATACCTGTGCCCAAACTGAAGGAATGAAAGATTTATTTAGCTCACAGTTACTGGCGGTTTCAATCCATATTCAGCTGGGTCCAAGGCAAAGCAGCACACAGCAGAAAGCAAACTTTCATGGCAGCAGCAAAGAGCAAGAGCACAAGGGAGGGTTGTCAAGCAACTAGCTTCTCTTCCCACCTTATATTATTATACAAATTTCTTGTCCCAGGGCAGGTGCAGCATCCACACCCACAATAATCAAACTCCAGAAGTTTTCCCATGACTGTATAAGGCTTTTGTGGGGACAACATGACACAGACTGAATTGCTACCAGTGACCACAAAAAGAAGGGGCCGGGGAGATGGCTCAGTAGAATAAGTGCTTCCCTGGCAAGCACAAGTGCTTGAGTTCAATCCCCAATTCGACCAAAAAAACAAAACAAAACAAAACAAAACAAAACAAAACAAAACAAAACAACCAAAAAACCAAGAAAGGTATCTTTAAAATAGCATGACAAAAATAATTAAAAAAATGAAATAAAAATAGTATGACAGCATGAAACATCAATCTCACAGCTGCAAAAAGAAGAAAAACAATGTAAGATTGATTGAGGTTAATGAGAAAGCTGTGGACTGTGCAAATGCTATAAAAACTCTCTTAGGGCCAGTGAGATAGCTCAGCAGACTAAGCACTTGCTTAGATAAGCACAAGGGCTAGGGTTCGATCCCTGGCACATCATGCCACACTGGCCCCACCCCTGGGCATGCTGAGCTGGTGATGGAGTCTGAGTATGGTAGCACATGCCTGTAATTGCAGCACTAGGGAGGCAGAAAAAAGGAGAATCACTATGAGTCCATGCTGCATAGTCAGACCCTGCACACACACACACACACACACACACACTTTCTCTCTTAACACAAATAATGGCTGAAAACTTCCCAAACGTGGATAAAGAAGTTGTTATACAAATAAATGAAGTGTTTAGAACTCCAAGCAGCCATGACCAAAATAAATATAGGCATATAATAATCAAAACACCACCAGAAATTCAGTATAAGAACAGAATATTTAAAGGACAGAAAAGAAACAAATCACTTTTTAAGGGAAGACCATCGGAATCACAGCAGACTTCTTAACATAAATCATCAAAGCAAGGAGAGCTGGGCAAGAGATATTTCAAGCCTTAAAAGAAAGCAATCTCTAATCTATATTCATGCTATTATAAAAGGTCTTTTCCTGATTTAAGTGCAACTGTGAGGTAACATTGATTTTGTGTTCTTGGCACTGTATGGTAGTGGTGGTGGTACTTTTCTTCTCATTGTTGAGTCAAAATACCCAACACTGAAAACTAATGGAAGAAAGCTTAATTTAGCTACAGTTTGTGGAGGGTTCAGTCCATAATAAACTGGTTCCAAGGGTGAAATGGCACAGGGGCAATACTTCAAGGTGTCAGAAGACAGAAAAAGTAAAAAACAAAAACAAAAACAAAAAACCAAGGGGAAGAGGGATAAGCCTCTTTTTCTACCTTATGTTGTAAGCAGTATACCACCCACACCATCTGGGTCTGATCCTATTAAACTGAATAGGTCAAAGAGAGATGAATGTAAAAAAATAGAAATAAAAAACAACTAAAGCCAAGATCACATAATGGAGAAGCAAACACTAAATAAAGAGAACTCCATACTAACAAAATCTGTACACTGTAATTATTCAGTCTACAGCGCATGCCCACACACACACACACACACACACACAGAAAATGCATCCTATAACTCCTAAAAAGCTGATCTGTTGGAATTTCATAGAAAAAATGAAAAACAAAATGGATGAATTATACAAAACAATAAAGAAACAAAATAATAGTAAAATATTCCAAGAAGATAAAAATGATTTAATCAAAGTGGAAGAGGAACCCCCAAATAAAGGTGTTCTGTGATAGATCCCACACAGACTTTTTCTAAAGAGTGACCTCTGCTGGCTTTGCCACCACCACCACTTGCCCGGGAGTGGCAGCTTCGGGAGAGACTCCAGGAGCTGCGGGACACCCTCAGGCAGGGCAAGCAGGACGCTAGTCTGGTGTCCCAGTAGGGGAAGGAGCTTTGTGGAGATTCTCAGGGAACTGAAGAGGAGAGTGCCTTTCTGGGCAGCAGACAGCCTGGAGACTTTCCTCCAATTCGGCCTCCTCCCTCCCCACCGCCACCTCTACCCTCTTCAATGAAAGTTAAAAAGAAGCTAGATTTGCTGGTTCCCGGGGCTGTTCCCACTTAATAAATGACATTTTTATTCTTCCACCGGGAAAGCAGCAAAATACCCAGTTCCTTCCTAGTTTTACCGCTTAGAGGAGAATCCAAGACCCTGGGATTTGAGTTGATTGTTTTTGGCTAAAGGAATCAAAATAGGAAGACTATTGTTTTGTTTGTTTTTTCGAAAATCCCGGGCTTCTTCCTTTGTGGGACACAGTAAGCACTAGCAACTGTAGAT